ATATATATATATATATATATAAAATTGTGCATAATATTGTGTTTAAAAAAATACATAATGTTTTTAAAATATAATGCAATATCAACTTTTTATTTACAGAACTGTTGTATAAAATCACATTTAAACTCGTGGTATTCGAACATAAACAGCACTCGTTTGATATTGCTCTCGCTGCTGGTATCGCTTATCGTTTGATATAAATATGAGAAAAAAACACATACAGGGGCATTTTTTGCACCAATATCTTGAATTTTAGGGCATAACTGCATTTATGGAGTTGTTGCTAACTGCGTTAAAATATTTTAATCACATTATTTTTTCATAACTAATTAATTAACGCGTTAAACTGACAGCTCTAATAAATATATACAGTACACACATATTATGTACACAAACTTTTATTTTGGTTTCAATTAATCACGAATAATCGATTTGACAGCCCTAGTAGAAAATGAACCCTTTTAAAGATTTTAGTATTGTGACATTATTTTCATGACAGTAAAGCATAATTTATACCTAGATTTCCATTATTATAACTCAAAAAAAATCTCACTTTTGTAATACAGTAATGAAAAACTTTCTATCCAGATACAGTGATCTAGTTTTTAAATATAATGTAAAATATTGAAACCATATTTACTGTATACTACAGAATTAAGTACAATAATGCTACCATGATGATAATATAACAATACTGATACTTACAATTGCAATGTACTTGAATAATGTACTTTACATAAAAAAAAAATCATTTTTTCAAAAATTCAATTAAAAAATCTTTGCCCAGTATATATTAATGATAACTTATTTATCAATCATTATGTTTGTGTATGTATGTATGTATAAACGCACAATACATAAAAACACACACACACAAATAATAATATAATATTATTTACATCTCTGTTTTTCTGTATTTTGGAGTGAAATAATACCTGGAATTTTCTTTTTTTATTTTTTTTATTTTCACTCACATGTTCAGTGTATGTTATGTTTGTTAAGGTTTGGATGACATTTTGACTTTTACTGTACATTATATACAAGCGTGAGTGTTAATGTCAGTGTTTTGCATGCTGTCATTAAAACGCCTTGTGTTTGCAGGATGCATGCATTCCTCAATGTTGTTTATGTGTGTATTTGCTAGACTCGTGACCTCGATCACTTCAGCTTTCCTCTGTCACTCTCTTTTTCTTTCCCTCCCTCCTTCCCTCTTTTGGCTGTCCTCTTGTATCTGTGATATAAAGCAGCAGTGGATTGGCATTACACAACCACACACACTCGCCTGATCCCATTTGTGCTGCACTTACCTCAGCCTTACCCTCTTGCCCCTCTGTCTCGGTGAAAGTGATCTGTATTATTTAGCCTGGCGAGGGTTAGCACACCACTGATCATGAATACAGTATGCGCGTGTGTGTGTATCTGGAATCAGAGCACAACTGGCTCGTTGAGGAGAAAAGCTTTCCTTTATTGGAGTGTACTTGAAAAGACAAGGCTTTTTAGTTGCTTAGAGGGGGAAATGAAGATTAAATGTAAGAATATGAGTTTTAATTTGTTTTAAAAAACTCAATCCAGTAAAATCTTGATTGTTTCTAAGTGGAGTAAGCATCCCAACTGAAGAAGTGGACCAGCAGTGATGTGGTTGTGTGTCATACCTCATTGCAGGGATATCCAATATTTCACTGGTACTTGTTGAATGTACAATTTTCTAACATTAAGAACAAGAAAAATGTAGAATAAGAAAAATATAGTATAGAAATGCACCAAACTTATGTCAGTCATAGTAAGCATTTTCAGTTGTATATGTACATGTTGCCAGGGATGTAAAAATGCACTTTAACTTGGACGTGAGGGACACAGACTATGGTTTTGTAAATGCTTAATAAATGCAGTTTAATTGTTGCATTTAAGATGATTGATCCATTTTATTTTTACTACTTTTATTATTTTTAACATGAAAATTAATGACTTGTGAGTGTCAGTTTATTTGTCTTTTTTTAAAAGTGAATACATTACATTAATATACTGATAATTGCTTGCTTTTTTATTTTTAAGTGGCACTCCTAGTTCCCCAGAGCATCTATCCACATTAGGCCAGTGTACTCATCTACACAAGGTAGAAGAAAATACGGGTTCACTTACAGTGAGAATAAACATGGTTTGTGCCGACCACAGTATGTTTTTGTGCAGTGAATTATCGCCAACCAAGAGCATTAAACCATCAAAATTCAAGAAACATTTTAAACCCAAACACTCAAACTATAAAGACAGGTCTGTGCCATGTTAATAATTTTAGTTTACAGTGAACATTTTTGCTTGTGTCGGGTCGGTAGCTAATCTCCAATGTAAAATCCTTGCCTGAAGCAGAACCAGTTGAGCGTCATTTCTCTAAAACTCTGTCTTCCTCAATCTCCACTCTTGTTTGTTGAACTCCAGAAGCGAGTCGCAAACTCTCCTGCTCAACAAAGCAAGAATTCCGCACTAGGCGGTGGTGGTTCTTATCACCATGGTAATCACAGATGGCTCTCTGTAATAAAGCAGTGATGCATTTCACTATGGCAATACAGTCATGCATCCGTGGTGATGGCTATCTTGCCTAATACTTTTAGCGAACAAGACTCACAGGACGAGTTGACAGAAGTAGAGCGAGTGGATTTGGTCCTGTGGTGATTTTTGAAATTGCTTCAGTAACAGATCGACTCTCTCTTCAACAATATTTGTAACTTGAATTCTGTATTTATAACGCCCTTATTCTAGACTTTGTAGTATTTTATGGTTTCCTTGAAGTTTGTGAATGTTAATTAAATGGTTTCTTGCAAAAAGGTTAAGGTTTGCCCCGTTCTACCTACTGTCTGACCCTAAACAGGCTTTTTTTTTTTTTTTGCTTCTGCACTTTTAAAAATTATATACATTATGAATACTGCTTTTCAAAATTTTAGGATCAGAAAGTTTTTTTTTAAAGGAAATTAATACTTGTATTCAGGAAGGTCACATTAATTTGTTCAAAAGTGACAGTAAGACAATGTTAAATAAGATTTAAGAAAGATTTCTTTTACAAAAGATTTATATATAAGTTCTGTTCTCTTCAAATTTCTATTCATGTAAGAATTCTGAAAAAAGTATCTTGGACTCCACAAAAATATTAAGCAGCATGACTGTTTTCAACATTAATAATAAGGAATGTTTTTCGAGCACTAAATCAGTATATTATATAGATTTCGGAACACTGAAGACTGGAGTAATGGCTGCAGAAAATTCAGGTTTGCCACCACAAATAAATTACATTTTAAAATGTATTAAAACAAGTAATAATATTTTGCAATATTACCATTTTACTGTGATCAAATAAATGCAGCCTTGGTGATTATAAGACACTTCTTTCAGAATCGTTAAAAAAAACCTTAACGACCCCATACTTTTGAATTGAAAGTGTTTTTGTTGACTATTAGCTTAAAAATGTTGCCAGTTTTCAGTTTGAAATGAGCAAGGAAAATACTATTTTCCATAATTTGCCCCCTTGCAATTTTCAGGCTGAGGACTACAGACTATGCAGAATAGAATGTGTTTTTTTTTCTTTCCTTAATGATGATGGGTCACTTCAGTATTTTGTCAAACTCCGAGAGCTTGGCCAGGATTTGTCTGGTTGCAAATGAGAGGAATGTGCAGGCATTGGCTCAGTGATCTCCAGGCTACTGAGAAGAAGCGTTTGGCACAAGTGGCAGGAAAGTGAGCAGGCTCATTAGAATCTCCATGCAGGACTGCTCCAAGGCTCCTGCATGGAACACCATATGGAGCGCCTTTCTTAACCACACAGTGAAACTCTGTGCCCTTCCTCGAGCTCGTTAGTGGTGCAGCACCCTGTGACCGACATGATGTTAGGTTAAGTGGCCCTCTTGTTTCATATTCATCTCAGGTCATATGAATGACGAACTTGGATTGGTTAGGCTTTCTCTGTTTGGTCTCTCTTTGTTCTGATTTACTGTTACGAGCATTTAATTCTGAGGATACAAGAGTGTCCAAGTGGAAGAAACCAATCCATTTTTTCCTATTTTTGCAATCTAATGATCTCTTATGCTTCATTCATTGTGTGCAGGATGAAGGACACCAGCCGCAAGAACAACATGTTTGCTCAGTTCCGTAAAAACGAACGGGACAAGCAGAAGCTCATAGACACCGTTGTCAAACAGCTGAGAAATCTCATCGCCACCAACCAGGCCTGAGAAAGCCATCGCATCAGCACACAGCCCCACTTCCTGATGAGTTGCCACCAGACTGTGTGGACTGCGCTTGCACACCTCCATTAGTTGGACGTATTGTTCTATTCCCACACAGACACTTGCACTAACATGCACATATAAACGCACCTCTGAAAGGCGCACCTGCTAAACCATCCCGTGCCTGTGTCTTCCTATGTGACTACCTGAACACATCAAGGACACCAAATCACATTTTGCTCTTTAAAACAGGTTTTGGTTGCCTTTTATTGTCTTGTATTGAGCGTCTTACAAAAGCACTGTTCTCCTGTCACGCAATTTGAATTGCCTTTACAGTAGTTCTAAAGTATTATCTCATTTTTGAATTTGACAACTATAGTTACACTGTATTGTGGATATCACTTCAGTTGCTGCAAAGTTAAAGGAAATTGGAACACTAACTAGACTTGAATATTGCTGTCATAATGTCTAACAGATCAAATTTAAAGGGATAGTTCCCCTAAAATTGATCATTTACTCACCCTCCCTTCTTTCCAAACCTTTCTATCTTCTGTGGAACACAAAAGATAATATTATTGTAAGTGTAATTATTGTTTTGGAAGTCAGTGATAGCCAAAACTATTAGAAAAAGTCATACAGGTTTGGAGCATATGTGGATAAATGATGACAGAATTATCATTTTGGATGAACTATCATTTTAATATGTGTGAGAATGTAAATGAATATTCTCACAGATGGGTCTAGGGTTCATTTGAGTGCTGATTATAATGAGGGAAGTTCTCAATACAGGGAATCTAGTTACTGCCCTTGTTAAATCTTTCATGTGTAGTAATTGTATACTAGACATACTTCAGCTTTAGTCTGTTACAGCAAAGACATGGATTATAGCTTAATACCTTAAAGAACCACAGCTGTGTGGCAGTTTTGGAGAGGATTAGTTTACTATTGTCTTGAAAATGACCAGGTTAAGATTAAGGTTTGGCGTTTTTTGACTAGACTTCAGATATGCAGAATAGAGGCTTTTGTCTCTTGTATTCATTAATTGCAAATATATCAGCCAGCATTCAATGCCAAAACTGACTGAAGATGTGTAAGGTAGGGGAACATACCAGAGCAGGCTAATGTCAGCTTATTTACACCGATGTACATTAAAACCTAATATAAATTGCTTTTAGTATTTAAACAGTGTCGTCTTCCCATAACTTTGATATTTACTCTGATAGGAATGAGGGTGCAATATTACGTTTTTCTTTTCAAATTGACCCGAGAGTTTTAGCTAGCAGAGATTGTTGTGTTTAAAGGGAGTTTGCTTTTTCTTTCATTTCCAATTTTACTGACACAAAAGATGTGTGTTTGAAGCCTGTCCCTTACAATGGATGCGAAACCATTAAATGATAAATGGAATTCTTCATTTTTAGGGACAGAACGAGCGCCATGTCAAATTATTTTGAGCTGTCTTCTGGATTCAGCTCTTTCTGTCTGTGCCTTGAATTTTTTCCATGCCTATCATTGATTGTGTGTGTGTTTTTTCCCCCCGCACAGCACCTGGTCTTGGACGTATGACCAGGGAATGGACATGTGCTGGTGGGTGAACGCGAGCGTGCATGAGAACATTCAGCCTTAGCAGACAGCTCTGATTGTAGAGAACAGTACTGACTCCAGAGAGACGCACTGTACAGATTGTTATATTAAACCACTAATGAATATTACAATACTAATAAATTCAGCAAATGCCAACAAATAAGTAATAAATCAAGAATGTGTTTTTTTATTTTGCATCTGAATTGTAATTTTAATGGCATTTTACTTTCAGTTTGGGAACAGGGTCATGAGAGGTTTTTTTAAATTATTTATATGCCATTATAGTATTAATATTTTAAAAGAGTTTTTTATTTTATTATAATTTTTAGTATTTCTATGTGATTTTGACATTATTTTTTAACATTTTTATTTCTGTTTAGCTTTAATTGACACCTGTTTCAATTTTAGTGAATTTATTACTTCAACTTATTTTATTCCACTTTTTTCGCCAAGGTAGCATTTCATTTAATATTTAATTTGACTTTGTCAGCTTTATTTCAATTAACAATTTTTTTTAAAAGGTTAAGTTGTTAATAACACTTGTCCAGATGTGCACTAACCACAGGTCAGTGGCTCTGATAGCCTCAAAATGTTGATATGAAAGCAGTGCAGTGGAGCATTATGGTGGTCCATGACTTTTTGATGAGACCTCAGATGACCTAGAACTGCTTGATGTACACAACTCTTTCCTCTTTCCTTTCCTCCCACTCTATCTTACTCCATCTTCCGCCTTTTCATTGTGGCACAAAACCTGCCTTATCCAATTTTGTGCGATCACTGTCCCATCATGCAGTGAGAGATGCCCCCTGCCACCACCATTTATGTCTGTGTGGAGAACGTTACTGAACTGTGACCACACCACAAACACATTTTCCTTCATCCTCTCAGACGAGACACCGTGGCCCTCCGGGTCTGTTGATCCCCCACATGTTTTGAGCGAGTCGGGCAAAACAAATCTTTTGGGGCTCACTTGAGCGCGACAGGCTTTTTGTTGGGGTTCAGGAACCGAGCAGTGCCAGCTTATAACCGGATGATGAATCCTGCCTCCTACTGCCCGTCTCAGCGCCCCGGGACCGATGGCGGAGTTCGGAAGTTCTGGCAGTTACGGCCCTGTTGAGCCAAATGTAAAACTGAAGATTAATTGTTTCTTCTTACGGTCCAAGATAAAGGACTTGTTTGAATGATTTATACTTCTGTCATATAACCCATGGTGAGGGAATTTGGTGATGCAGTCCTCTTGGAAAGTTTTCTATAACCCTTCAATTGGCTGTAATTTCATGCTGGTTGTTCACGGATAACGGTGACTTCACATCCATTCATTGATTGATTCTGTTATTTAACCCTTTTCAAGCTAAGGACCGCTCAAAGGATAGAGAAAAGGAGCGTGGACCTCCTATCGCATCGCATTTTAAGCCTGACCTAAAATACCACACATATGGTACAAAAATACGGTACATATACCTCCATTCAAAAAAGTTGAGGGGACAGTAAGATTTTTTTTTTTCAACAGGGACACATTAACTTCATCACAGTAAATACTTTTACATTGTTACATATACCCCAACAGCAATGTTTGGTTAAAGATTTGAGTTTTGTGCGTGTGTTAGAGAGAAGGAAAGAGATGACAGAGAAGATGTGATCAAGATCAGGCTTCACATTTGCATGTTGTTTTTAGCAGAACAAAAAGATTGTCCTGTGTCCTCAAATGGGCCATTACAAAGAAGAAGACGGATGATCTGCCAGAAACAGATGTATCTCTTGCTTCAACAGATGTTGCGATCGCCCGGGTTGAGCTACAAAAACACATCAGGATGAAACCGATAAATAATGTATTATTTAGAGAAAATGTCTTCATTGCAGATCATGCTCTTCTGCATGCACATTTAGGGAATAATTAAGGAATAATTGGCAAATTATTATGACTATTTTTTATATCAAATTTTTAATTTTTATGTAAGTACTGGGAAATACTAATGAACTACATGTGTATTTAATCATGCAACTGCATAATTCCAAGTTGTTAGCACTATATAACTATATTCAGATGCTGAAAAAAACAGTTTTTTTTTTTTTTTGCTTATTTTTTGTAAAGTAGAAAATTCCCATTAAGTAAATCTGTTGCACATAATTAGAGAGCAATTTCAGTAAATTACTCCCAACTTTTTTTATCCGGACATATTAAGAGATCCAGTAGATCTTTTCTATTAGCAACGTATGGGAATATCATACTGTATATGCTTGTGTCTGTTAGGTGTACAAACATTTCTTGAGGCAGACCTTGTGTTTAGATCAGTATTGCCTTAGAATATGGTCAAAATGTTAAAACAACCCAAGATGAATGGAGGTGCATTGTAATTCAGTATTTTTGATATCTGATAATGAATTCACTTTAGAAATGTTTGTTTTACTAACTCCTCCATTAGGAAAGACATTGAATGTATCTAGTAAAAGTGGCCTTGTTTTGTGTGTCTGGAGCAGCAGAGGTCAGGTGAGGTCACTGCCGTCTCACTACTGTCTCAATATCCAGAGAGACAACATAGCGTGCAGGGGAGCGTAGAATAAACATTTGCCCAGAACAGAAAAGGAAGAAAAAAATAAATGAAACATAAAAGCAGGTTGCCAGCGATGGCGAGGGCTGATAGCATGTCACCCATTGATCTTTGTCTCTTACGGAAGAGAGTTAAAAAAAAAACCTGCATGTTTATATGCCTTTATATAAGTTATTGTTTAAATCTGTGAGTGTGTTTGCAAATTGGTCAAATGAAAACGCCGAAGAGGGAAGAACAGTGGCTTGATGTTTGCATAGTGTCTGCCACGGCTTCATATCTGACTGATTATGGAAATATGGTGATCCGTGAACTAATCTCAGTCTGTCTCTTTCTCTCTGTGCCGCAGTTTATCTGTTCAGTACCAGGACAGTGACCAACAATCACTTGGCAAACTGATCAAAGCTGTATTTGATGTTGACAGCATACTTCTTTTTGCATTGAGATGGATGAACCCCAGTGTACAAATAAGACTGATTATTAAACTGATCATGTGTAATAAGTCCGCAATGTGTCAAATAAGCTCCTTAACTTTAATTAGGGAAATGTAAGTGGTTTATGTACATCAAATCCTATTGTTGCCTGTTCCCCTGGTTTTAGTGTAAGACCCGAGAAAAACATGATTAAAAATATTATGTCAAAATGTTATAATACTTTTATTAAGCAATGATGTGTTAAATTAAATCAAACATAAAGACTTTTACAATGTTACAAAAATTTCTATTTCAAAAAAAGTTGTCCTTTTGAACTTTTTTTTCATGAAAGAATCCTTGAAAAAAAAAATGTATCATAGGTTCCACAAAATAATAAGCAGCACAACTGTTTTTAACTCATAAGAAATGATAAGAAAAGTTCAAATCGCCATATTTGAATGCAGTCTGGAATAATGGCTGCTGAAAGTTTGGCATTGCCATCACAGGAGTATATTACAATAAACTGTATTAATGGTTTTCTATTTGAATATTGTAATTTAAATTGCAATAATATTTCACAAGTGTACTGTTTCCTTGGTAAGTACAAAATACTTCTTTCAACAACCTAAATAAATATAAACCTAATTTTTCATAGTTTTCAGTGCTCTGTTGTTCTAAAAACATTTTAGAAGCATAAATTGGTTTCACTGTCATTTCTAGTTGGTTCGGTTTATTTTAGTTGAGGTGAAAATCTCAACTCGGCCAATTTGTATATCTGATTTCCTGTACATCAACATCGAGATTCACAGGAGACAACCTGAACGTTAAAGGAGAGAGAACTGACAAGACAAAAGGTTGTGAGTGAAAGTGAAGTGAGCGTGTGGGAGAAGATGGAGTGATAGGGGAAGAGAGGAGAGACAGCGAGCGCACGTTCTCCTCTCCTCCAATGAAGATGGATGGCAGCCCACCCTCCCTCTCTCAGTGCTGCTGGGAGGTTATTGATGGGCTCTGGGAGTCAAAGGTTACAGAAACAAAATTCTGGCTTCCTCTGTGCGCTCTCTGTGTGTCCTCCCCTTCAGTCAAGGTGTTTGGGAGGGATTCTGGGTGGGGTTCGGGTTTAATTTGAACACTGACAGCGACACACACCCCTGTTCCTACACAGGGCTGAAGGGGCCCATCTATCATTGCTGTGAAGCACCGAGGGTGTGCGTGAATTTGTGTGTGTGTGGGATTGGCGATTTATTGTTACATGGACATGCTAATAGCACTGGCCCCCACAAAGCCAGTGGGTAGTGGGGGTTATCATTGAGCCATCCATCTCCATCCACCTAGCCGCTCAATCACTCCATGCTTTCCTCTGAGTTAACACACTTTGTGTGGTAAATCTCCATCAGTCATCTACAATATGGCCATAAGTAATACCTTGTCTACTTTGAATTGCTTTAGCATCAACTTTTTGACCAAACCAATTTGTTTTAAGATTCTGCGAATCAAAAGTCTACAGTTACTTTGAAGGCTCTGTTCTCCAGCATCTTCACATATGGCCAGCACTCCAGGCATCAAGATGCTTGCTCTTTTCATTTTTGCAATGTCACGCCTCTGTATTTTATTGAGTAACACTCATTACCTTCAAAAACATCTCTTGTCACGTTTAACAGTTGTTTTCCAACATGAGTGACTTTTAGGACATAAAGCAGGGGGTAAACGAGGAACCTGTTTCTGACTATAATAAAAATGTACTGGAAAACCTAAACCACACATTATCCATTACAGCTGATGCTAGAGACAAAGGACCTGGCATTTTGATTCTTCCCTCTTTTAGACAAAATTGGGATTGAACGACTGCTTTGGAATGTAGTTGCTAGGAATTTCGGTTAGATTAGATTTGGACTCCCTTGGTTGTCAGATTCTTTTGGGTCCTGTTACTGTCCAAATGCTGATATCTCTATTTTAGACGCTTGACCTGAAATCAAAACCTCTGCTCTTCAAGAAAAAAAATGCGATTTAGGGTTTCAACAACAATTTCGATTCAGAGATTTCATGCCAAAGCTGAAGGGTATGTCAAAAAAGGGCTCATTTTTTCCTCTTTAAACTGCTATTTTTACCAAAATTACTCACATGTTCTTCATAGAATCCTAAAAAATAGTTTTCAACACTGATCATAATAAAACATGTCTGAATGTTCAGCTTTTTGCCATCACAGGAGTAAATT